TGATGCTGGGTAATTTACAATGTTTGTACTGGCAGTCGACTCACGGGACTCGGGACCCACGGTCCCCGGACCCCCGTCACACACTTGGTCGACGCCTACCAGTGTCCGCTAATAAAGACTCTACATACAATAAGATTTATGTTCGATCCCATATGGTCAGTCTGTGACCTTGTTACGCCATTACTTCCTGAACTATACTTAGGACAGTACGTGGCATAAGTAACAACATAAATCACATCACAGGACAAATCATAGGCCAGGCACTAGCCGTATACACGAGGAATCCACTCAACTTCCAGTTGTATACTGTGAGGTAAATACCAAGAGCCGTGATCGGAACAACATGCCTTTGTGTACAACAGAACTATATTCTGGGTATCTGTAAACCACTCAACTGAGTGGGAAGCTGGAAACTTCGGGGTTCTTCAATATCATAAAGAGAAGACTGCCTTGAGCTCACGCCATGTGGAGCTCATCTCCATGTCAGTCTTTGACCACCGCCCACTTGACACCTTCCACCAAACTGAACACAACAGCCATCGAATCCCGTACAATTGGCATCACTGTATACTATACCAAAGCGTCAGGGGAAGTATCCGAACATCACATACTAGAGTTGAAACGAGACATATGCAGAAGCCAAATACTAAGTTGTAAACTCTCAGTAGATAAGAACAAAAGAATACTCAGAGGTGTTTAAAGTTAAAAACTCAACAAAAACTCATTGTTTTGCTAACTGCTATTCTCAATTCATTTATTCCGCCGTAACAATAGATATGTGTGGGAATGAGAACAGTCACATACAAAAGCGTGATTGAATGTATGACGAGTAGATGTTTCTAATTCATAACGTAGAATTTAATGTGGTTATTTCTTCGCGGCGGAACATGGAAATGTATCCGTGAATCATTTCCATAAACGTATGAACTAAAACGTATTCGTCTTTAAGTTAAACGGCAGCACTATCGCAATAAATGGAGTTTTACGAAATTGTGGAGTGTTAATGTTCTTCTGTTCGTATCTCACCACTGGTCGCTGCAGACATGATTCCTGTTTGATTGTGATATGCATAGTAACTTACAATCCGCCAGTTCTGCATTTGCTGATCTATGCTGTAAATCTAAGTACGGTAGTAGGATCACGGCTGTAGGATAGGATGGTAAACAGTTTTGTTTTATTATCCGGTTCGCCACAGTGGTATGCTGGAAAGGGTTTAAAAATCAGGACCAGCTGAAGTTGTTGGAGACGATGCAGGGGGAATACGAGCAAAGCTAGCCATTAGGTTTAGTCTCTGTAGCGCCATGGTAAGTGAAGGTTACTGCAGATGGTGACAATGTATGTGGGCCAAGTCATATATATGCGATGCGAGTAATGACGCCATGTCTGCTAAGCATCTGGAGATGAGATATTGTCCACACCGAGAGAACAGTGTAGGCCATAACTGGTGTGTGCTGATCAGTGTTGTGTTGTTGGCTAGCACCACAGAGGGTACATGATTCTGTTCAATCTTCAGACCTAGGTTGAGGTTATCTAAGCGTTTGATCAAATCATTGATGTATACAAGGAAGGTCCATGCCGACAGCACGCTTCCTTGTCCTACTCCCTGTCTGAGTGGAAAAACGGGACTTTTGTGACCATTATATTGGACACGAGAAGACGTTGCCTTATATAAGTGTCTAAATAAGTGCCATGCCCGACCATGTACTCCTATGTTAATAACATGAACAGTGAGCCATTGTGCCCTATTCTATCGAAGGCTTTCTCATTGTCCACGAAGTCAACGTTTGATCCCAGCTCAATATAGTAGGTAGTGACCTGTTTCAGTATATGTACAGCTACACTTGCACCACGATCTTTTACCAGTAGCTTATGTTGGAATGGCGGGTTCACTGATTTCACGAAGCTTCCTACTTTATCCTGTAGAATTCATTCAAATGTTTTTCCAAGCGTTGATGTTGGAAGTATTCCCCTGAAACTACCAAGAACTGTTTGTCATTCTTATTGCCCTTATATAGCGGTAGAATAGTTCCAAAAATCATTGACTAGCCTCGGTTATCTCTGCCAATTTTTAAGGAGATGCTGAAACCACAAAGAAGACAACAGCAGGTCACCGACTTCAAATTTAATGGTTCTGCGCCCAGGGCAAAAATATGACATGCATTGATAAAACATTCTCAGTTATCAGCTGTGGGCATAGGTGGACACATGGAAGGGAAACACACCAACAGGTAAACCTGAGTGAGGCATCATGCTAGGTCATTAGCAAAAGTAAGTACTGCGTGTAACCGGCAGCCAGGATAACAACCTGAAGTTACATCTTCATTCTAACAACGCGTGTCGTTCTGACGTTGATTAATGAACAATTTGCATACTCGTATATGCAAGGGACAGACGTATGGTTCCTGTAGGAAGTGACAACTTGGAGACGATGGCTTGTGGTATATACAGTTCTACTTTATACATGTTGATATATACATACAAAAGACACTATGTGTCTGGTCAGCACATAGTGGTAGTGGTTATTGTCTAGGTGCCCCGGAGCACCCAGCCTAACCCTAGCTAGGCTAAGGGTAAGACCTCTCTTTTTTCCTTCTCCTCTCTGGACCAAGGCTTATATAGCCAAGGTCACCTGACATTTAGTAAGTAATAAATATAAATGTAAACAGTAAATCATCAGTGACATACTTGCACATCTCGTTCAGGATGGCAGACGGTCGATGTACACAAAAATGGGGATTAACAAATAGGATTAGCATCTTATAAATAACAGCAATTAAGTGTTTCAAGGCATATAGATGTCATGGCTCCAGGGTAATGAGCCTTTGCAATTAAATGTTCTTCAGACAATGGGTGTCATAAATCAGTCGCTATGACAACTTCCCTCCGTTACGTGAAGCTTGGACCCCAAGCTTACATGAGTCCAAATTGATATGTGTGAACTTTTTCACCAACGAAAACAACCTTGCAAATGTGAACAAAATCACGTACATGAAATCCTTATGCAACAAATATATCTATGCAATGACAGTATGAAAGTGATCATCTAGCCATTTTTATTTAGTGCCAGTTTGAAAACTAACGAGGTGATCTTTGTAATGTGCAATTTCACTACAAGGTAATTACTGCTTTGCACAGATTCAATAAATATATCACTGAAGGTTCTTTGAATTCAGGAGTCTGGCTTGGCGGTGCGACTCAGTACCGAATAATGATAATGAGTAATGTCATAAAAAGTACAAATTAAACATCTCAGCAAATATTTCGCATAAAGAAATTTGAAACCAGGAGTCTAGCTTTACCGCGTGACTCAAACGGTACTTGTGGGTACTATTGCCCTTTTAAGTACAATGGGTGCTCTTCCCGTGTCTTTGACGGAGCTTGCCAAGATATTGTGGGTGCGATGCCCAAGAAAAAAAAATCCTTAATTCCGACATCAAAACTCTGAAATGCTGAATACTGCTGTGCTGTTAATTACTAAGCAGATGTGAAGTGTGATCTGCGCTAAAAAGTAGAATGTGTATGCCAAACCTTACCAACTTCATAAGTCTAAACTGGAATGTAATGAAAAATTCAATCATGTGAAATTGTCTCGAAGATATTTGAACGAATCGTATTTTGTGTGCCAGAGACCATTTACGGTTGATCGCACGAATATACATAATTTTCGCCGGTATCATAATTAAGCACAAAATCACGTTGGCAAAACAAAGAAGTAGGATATAGACTGTATATACAATCTCCACTGAATAAACTTGGTAAGCACGAGGCTCCCTAACTAATTATACTTCTACAAACGCTGCTACTACATCGATTTTATCAGTTTTCACAAAGAGTACAAATAATTTCAGTGCTTACCTACTCAAAAAGGACTAAATGAAGCTATAAGCAGGAAATTGTAGGGTATTGGATAACTTTGTGAAAGCTATTGTCTATAGTAATGGTTAAAGGGCCACAAATTAAAAGAAAAATCCTTGAAACCGGGAGTCTGATTTGTATGGGACGACTCGGAACCCGCAGATATCGTGGATCTGCACTAAATGCGTACAAGCATAGGGTGTAGGACATGAATAGAGTAGGAGCCTAGCCGATTTCAAAAACTTAATCTGATAAGGATTGTACCTCTGATAACAATACATAGATTGCAATACATACTCATTATAGAAAAACATGACAAAATGTTAAGACAACGAAACAATAATGACTTGATTACATAACATACCTTATAGGAACAAGAATGTCCGTGAAAATACGTATAAGCACAGTACACGTTGAGAGTTGGAACGAAAGTTCAAATATATTGTCACACACACATATATCGGTAGGCACTTGCTGAAGAATCTTGACGTTAGTCGACTTGATCTTGAGTGTTGGTAGCATGGCTGAATGTTGGCGTACTCACTTGATTACATGAATATTGTCTGAATTTCGGTGTTGCTGACGTTCGGGTAGGCTGGGCTGCTGTTCGTTGCTGACGATGGGGTAGGCTGGGCTGCTGTTCGTTGCTGACGATGGGGTAGGCTGGGCTGCTGTTCGTTGCTGACGATGGGGTAAGCTGGGGTGCTGTCTGTTGCTGACGATCGGGTTGGTTGGGGTGCTGTCTGTCATCTTCTTCGTTTTCCCGTCAAGATGGCGGCTGGCTTGACGCTGCTTTTGTCTCCCATCAACTCTGAACTACCATTTGCTTTGCTGCGAGTTAGGGTAGGGGGATCGTGCGTGAGTCACAGCAAACTCACGCTACCCGGATTATTCACCATCATTCAAGATCCGGCGACGTTAGGAGGTGTTAATAAAAATTTATAGATAGCGCTGGAGATTAAGGGTCCTGCCCGGAGGGGCTTATGATATAAGAGGGGAACGCCGAATGTTTACTGAAATACGCATCAGTCGGAAAGCGCACGTTAAATCTCCAAAGTAAGTAAGTAAGTGTTTACTGAACATCTCGGCTTGGACACTCGCCCTGCGAACACGTCCTCCTGAGCTCTCAAAACTACAAGCCGACTATGAGAGACCTCTCAAAGTCACTACCGAGGGAGCTTGTCTCCATCCTGGAGCCCCTGCTGGCTTACCGGGTTGGGGACTACTCCCTCAGGACTTCCTATAAGTCCAAAACTTCCGAGCTCTCCATCTCCTTTGACCTAGGTCAAAAGAAGAGGCCTATGGTCAAGGCCCCGGCCAAGACAAAGCCCAAGGAGAAACCCACCCCGGCCCGTACCCCTGCTGCACCACGCCCGGTACAGAGGAAAAGGCCGCCCAAGGTTAAGAAGACCCCTCCAGTCTCCATCATGGATATTGAGGAAAGTCTTCCCACTACCCCTCCACCCCCAACAGCAGCACCGGAGCTCGCTCCCCTCGAATCCAGAGGGGAGGAGCCTTTTCGCTCGCCTGAGGGGACAGGACACGGGAGGAAGAAGAGGAAGAGGAGAAGCATATTCTCCCCAGACGCTTCACCCCTCCCAGCTCCTACAATCACCAAATCCATAGAGTGTCAGACCGCCGACCCACCAGGCCCTGAACTCAATGACAGCCACACCCAGACCGCCACTTCACCAGTCCCTCCTCTCCGCGACAGCCACACCCAGACCAACCCGGTCAAGGTGCCAAAGGAGAAGCCAGAGGACGCGCGGCTCATGCTTACCCGGGAAGCGGCTAGAGTCATGCACAGTTTCAAGCACCTGCCCCCACCCGCCTGCGGGAAACCAACCAACAGGATCCACCCTAGCAGCCGCCCCCAACTAGCCATGGTTATGGTCCAGACCATGGAGGCGAACGCTTCGAACACGAGATCCACAGTTTCCAGGACCTCAAGGACTTCCTGGAAAACAGCGATGTTGTCTACTCCAACAACTTCGTCGCCGCCATGGCCGCCCGCCTCATCGACGGACTCTTCCCAGGCATCTGCCGGGAGGAATGCAAGATCGCTACCACTCTCCTCACCGGTGTTCTCAAGTAAACGCCTCTGGTCGCCACACAAGCTCGCCCGCCGACGCCGTGCCTTCCCACGCTTGACCCCCTCCCCTCCAACCCACGCCCAACCTTTTCCATATTATTGAGTACTTTTTTATCACCCTCCCCCACCCAGCCAAACCCCCACCCCCCGCAGCTTTATTAGATAAGTCCTGTAAAAGTCACATTTTTTTGGGTCGCATTTCTTTATTTATTCATTACGCTTTTTTTCTCCCAATAGTATAAAGTGCTTCCCCGTGTGCGAAATACGCTATTAGTCGGAAAGCGCACGTTAAATCTCCTAGTGACTCACTCACTCACGTTTACTGAATATATTAAACAGACAAAGGGCATAGAATTTCGGTGCACTTGGAAACATATTGAACCAGTTAGGTATTTAGATAAATGAAATGTAAAATAAAAGTATTGAAATGGTTTGCACTATTTAAGTAAAAGTATTGAAATGGTTTGCACTATAACAATTCACCGAATCAGACGTTAAATATGTTGCTGGAGCCGTCTGTTCAATTCTTGGTGCAATTCTTCATGAAGGTGCAGCACCGTCATTTCAAAATATTCCAGACGTACGTGCTGCTCATTTGGACCGGCAGGCCAGGGCAGTGTATTGACAAAGGAATTCCATTGTGGCACGTGTGCTATGTGGTCGGGTGTTTTCATCCACAAAGATCATCTTCTAAAGAGAGAATGGTTGCCAAAGTGAGACACGACAAGATCAACAAGATATCTTTCGGGATTGCCTAAAAGTCGGGCCAAGAAAAGTCGGGCCGGGCCGGGCCAGCGGGTAATACTAAAAATGGATTGCAGAATAATAAAACGAAACGCGCATATCTAGGCAGATCTCAAATGTCCACAAACGTATAGTTTTGCTCATTTAATTGAGTTTGAATAAAAATGCACCTTCAACAATGTAATTAACTGATGATTATGACTACATACCGTGAGTCTCGTAGAAAAGTCAGCGTCTTGACTGTGTATTCTTTGATTAGAATGCTTCTCACCGACCTTAGCGTGTAGGGGTGTGATGTCCTGGGCAGGAAACGACAGTGTTTTGACTACTCTTCTTTCATTAATTAACGTGTTTAGGTAATTAACCTTTACTAATTCGTGTTAAACCAACACAGGATGTTTTCTGGAAATGGATATTCTCGAATGTCAAAAGACTGACACGACACGTGTTAATAACTGTCCAAGCACTTCTAAAGTTCCTAACATTATTTATATCTAAACACTAGTATTTTATCTAATTATTTACCACTTGATTGTCTCATATTTCAGTAGTTAAAGAAAACACAGAACTCAAAGTGAAGCCCTTTTCCCTCTACATTCTCAACATAGTCTCTATCAGAAGTGTTTGGCTTGGGTTGGGTCCGACTTGGCCCGGGCGGTCAAAATCAACTTTAAATAGACAGATGTATCTTCAAATGTGATTAAATCTATAGATTAGTGTTATATCTACCTATACACCAATTTATAATGTCACAGATCGCAGTATTTATAGAAGACATGGGGCTTAAAGTGAAGCCCTTTTCCCTCTACATTCTCAACATAGTCTCTATCAGAAGTGTTTGGCTTGTGTTCGGTCCGACTTGGCCCGGGCGGTCAAAATCAACTTTAAACACACAGATGTAACTTCAAATGTGATTAAATCTATAGATTAGTGTTATATCTACCTATACACCAATTTATAATGTCCAGGTGTATCGCATTTAAAGAAATCTGCGCCCTTAAAGTGAAGCATTTTTACTGTATTTTCTTTAAAAAATCCAAGTCAGAAATGTTCGGTCCGACCTGGCCCGGGCTGTTAAAATCAACTTAAACCTCACAGATGTATCATCAAGTGGATTCACATCTATAGATTAGTATTATATCTACCTATACACCACTTTATAATGTCACAGATTGCAGTATTTATAGACAACAAGGGGCTCGAAAGTGAAGCCCTTTTCCCTCTACATTCTCAACATAGTCTCTATCAGAAGTGTTTGGCTTGTGTTGGGTCCGACTTGGCCCGGGCGGTCAAAATCAACTTTAAACACACAGATGTATCTTCAAATGTGACTAAATCTATAGATTAGTAATATATCTACCTATACACCAATTTATAATGTCACAGATCGCAGTATTTATAGAAGACATGGGGCTTAAAGTGAAGCCCTTTTCCCCTCTACATTCTCAACATAGTCTCTATCAGAAGTGTTTGGCTTGTGTTGGGTCCGACTTGGCCCGGGCGGTCAATATCAACTTTAAACACACAGATGTATCTTCAAATGTGATTAAATCTATAGATTAGTGTTATATCTACCTATACACCAATTTATAATGTCACAGATCGCAGTATTTATAGAAGACATGGGGCTTAAAGTGAAGCCCTTTTCCCCTCTACATTCTCAACATAGTCTCTATCAGAAGTGTTTGGCTTGTGTTGGGTTGATTTTGACCGCCCGGGACAAGTCGGACCCAACACAAGCCAAACACTTCTGATAGAGACTATGTTGAGAATGTAGAGGGGAAAAGGGCTTCACTTTAAGCCCCATGTCTTCTATAAATACTGCGATCTGTGACATTATAAATTGGTGTATAGGTAGATATAACACTAATCTATAGATTTAGTCACATTTGAAGATACATCTGTGTGTTTAAAGTTGATTTTGACCGCCCGGGCCAAGTCGGACCCAACACAAGCCAAACACTTCTGATAGAGACTATGTTGAGAATGTAGAGGGAAAAGGGCTTCACTTTCGAGCCCCTTGTTGTCTATAAATACTGCAATCTGTGACATTATAAAGTGGTGTATAAGTAGATATAATACTAATCTATAGATTTAATCACATTTGAAGATACATCTGTGAGGTTTAAGTTGATTTTAACAGCCCGGGCCAGGTCGGACCGAACATTTCTGACTTGTTTTTTTTTAAAGAAAATACAGTAAAAATGCATCACTTTAAGGGCGCAGATTTCTTTAAATGCGATACACCTGGACATTATAAATTGGTGTATAGGTAGATATAACACTAATCTATAGATTTAATCACATTTGAAGTTACATCTGTGTGTTTAAAGTTGATTTTGACCGCCCGGGCCAAGTCGGACCCAACACAAGCCAAACACTTCTGATAGAGACTATGTTGAGAATGTAGAGGGAAAAGGGCTTCACTTTAAGCCCCATGTCTTCTATAAATACTGCGATCTGTGACATTATAAATTGGTGTATAGGTAGATATAACACTAATCTATAGATTTAATCACATTTGAAGATACATCTGTCTATTTAAAGTTGATTTTGACCGCCCGGGCCAAGTCGGACCCAACACAAGCCAAACACTTCTGATAGAGACTATGTTGAGAATGTAGAGGGAAAAGGGCTTCACTTTGAGCCCCTTGTTGTCTATAAATACTGCGATCTGTAACATTATAAAGTGGTGTATATGTAGATATAACACTAATCTATAGAGGTAATCACATTTGAAGATAAATCTGTCTGTTTAAAGTTGATTTTGACAGCCCGGGCCAAGTCGGAGCGAACTGTGTGACTGTCGAGAGTAGAGGGAGAAGAGGTCTAACTTTAACCAACGTGTCTGCTTTAAATACGATGAACAGTGACGTTATAAAGTGGTATTTACTTAGATATAGTACGTTCCTATAATATAAACGCTATGCCGACAGATGGAAATTCGTATGACGATAGCTAGAAGTATTTGATACGTGTCAAATCCTATTTCGTTTAACGATTGCTCTTTTACATGTTACCTAGATCAGCGACGCTAACACACAGCTCCACTTTCTAGTTTTTAAGTGATTTACTCCGAATTACTTAATTATGCTGCACGTTTTGGATTGGTGATTGTTCAGTAGTGTCATGTGTGTATGTTGCATCAATAATATGTAGATATGATCGCCGATAATTAAGTAATTAGCCAATAACACTTTGGCCCGTCTTGGCCCGGCCCGGCCCGACTTTTAGGCAATCCCATATCTCTCTCTCTCTCTCTCTCTCTCTCTCTGAGAGATATCGCTGTCCATTGAGATTACGCCTAACAGCGAGCGAGAGGGTCAGCCCCCAAATGGGTCCTTTGAACATAAAATGTAGGCTGTTGGAATATATTTTCGGTCATCAAGTGGAGACCAGAAGGGAGGCGGTTCGATCCCCGACCGCTTTATATCAAACGACGTAACAAGATGATATTTGCGGTTACCCTGCCTGGCGATAGACATTAAAAGGATAAACACACACGTGCACGTACGTCGTTGTATAAGTGCAATAATCTTGAATGGTACTTTAAACCCTATTTCACCATAGGCTGTGTTTCTAGGTCTCCGCCCATGGGTTCTCCCATGACCAAGAGAAACGGCTCTCATCTGATCAATGGTACTCCATGCAGGATTCCAGGGACGGTGTTCTCATATCAATTAAATAAATGCCATCAGTTAGCGTCGGTCGCGACGTTGTTTGGGTAGGAACAGATACTTGGTACAATGTAATGACCGGTTTTTCTATACTTGCTTTTCATCATAATTGGGGTTGACATCATGCTCTTGCAACATCTTTCACAAAAAATGCTGCGCACGCTCAAGGTTTAACCTACGTTTATTTAACAAACACGGAACAAATGCAAAGAAGGTGATGTAGATTCAATAAAAAAACCGCATTAAGTAATATATGGACATCCATCAAAAGTACAGATGTCTCGCAAATCACATACAGGCCGGTCTTCTGTTGGTTAGATAATGTTCAGGGTAAAAACCTGGTAAAAACAAGATGCAAGGCGTTCTAATAACCGCGTCTTATTTACTGAACACATGAGCGAGACCCCCAAATAACCAAGCTCCTTACAGCGAATGTCTGTTCCCAGCGCTTCTCAACCGAGTGTGTTACGAAGATGTCACGCGCTGGGATAGAGCTTGCCAAATATTACTGAGAGTTCTGGCCCTTTGACTGTAATTTACCCTTTAGTGGCGCTGCAGATGTGACATTCAATGTTTGAGTAAAAACATGGCCCAAGCTCTATTCGAAGCACTTGCTGGTAATATATGAACCCAGATCACTATAGTTTATGTGTATTGGTCGTTGCATGTATATAATGGTATAGTATTAGTTCAAATTTCTCGCAAAAGTTCAATCATTTCAGAGCGACGACTTTCCTGCACGGATGTTCCGCCATATTTGTCGCTGTTACAATGATATTGCGTACAGGTCCGTCACGAACAAAACAATGTGAAACGTCACTTTTCTACTTGTCTTATATGATGCATGTCGGCAATGCACTGACAAGAAGGCTCATGTTACGTTCTTGGTGAATGAATCAACACTATTTACAAACTAGATATATGTCAAGACGGCGAAACGCTTCAGTAGTTGACGGGGTGTAAACAATAATTGATGGAATAGCAGTAGAAGGAAAGTGATGAGGGTAGGAAGGGGGTGGGTCGTTCAACATACGAACATATCTTTACATGTCTTCCTTGTCTGTATGGTCATCATCATCATCATCATCATCATAATAATAATAATAATAATAATATAACGTTATAATAAAAACTAACATTGTTTTTATATTTGTTTTTAAGTAGTCATCAACAATTCAACATGATAAAAACTTGACCATTTTCTCGAAAATAGGTATTGGCATGTGACCAGTTATGGCTGCAGACCAATTATCAACAACTCCCCGTAGTAGCTAGTAACGAGCATATGATCACATCTCGTTTTACTGTTGCTGGTTTTCATTAGAAGAGAAGTATAAAGTTGGATGTCTTAAAACATGTTTGTCAATATTTCACAGTTTCAGATATCCCTTCTCACATGTCTCAAGCACTTGAAGCAGCTTTAAAGGTGTGGCTCCTTTCTTTGTAAGGCAATCAGCCAGTTGTTATCATGTGCAAACCTACTTCACTTATTTCACCTTTCCCATTATTTCAACTTCCTTTATGGCACTAATTTCCATTCTCAGTCACTTTCCTGTCACCATTTTAGTAGATTTCAGGTTGTCATAGTTTTACAGCGATCTACAATCTGTCACACAGATGAGAGGAAGCAGGATTTGCTTGGTTTGCCCAGATAAGATTTCTGTGTACAAAGATGCCAGGTAGACACATTTGTCGATGCTATCAGGCATTGCTAATGTTTCTGCTGTTATTATACTTCTCACAATTCTTCTCACCCTTTTGGAATTCCAGCATTTTGGTGAAACCACACCGTTGCTGGTGCTAACGAGAAATTTAATGTTAACTCCTTGACTGCCGCCAAAACTTGCATCATTGTACACCATTAAGGATAAATCCTCGTCACCCAAGTCTTGAAACTTTAATGTCACTTTATCTGCTTTGATCTGTTTGATTCTGAAAGATCTTCTACTTTGGCATTCTTGTATCACCCTGACAGTCTCTATGCTTCATACATCACATCAGGATGACTTTGTTAAGCGATGCAAAAGATCTGTCTTATTTTGGACCCAAATACAGTAAACTATGTTTATAATGAACACGTTTATAACAAACTGATGGTTATAATGAACTGTTTGTTTGGTTCCAGACATTTGCTGTATATTTTATCATATAAAACTGATGGATATAACGAACATGCTATTTTATAAAAAAAATAACAGATGTAGCAAACTCACCTTGTGGTCCTGTGTGTACTATGTCAACGATAATGTTTAAGTGATTTACAAACTGTTAATCCCTGAGCTGAGCTCCTCACGTGTCGCCAATCTGCTTATCAAGTCATCCTCGGCCAAGTGCGGTTGTTCCAAGCGGCAATAAACAATTGATTTACTCTTAAGTACTGACACCTTGTCCTCAAATTACTTACTCACTTAACGATAGTAACACAATGATTAGGCTGTAGCCTTTGAAGTGGAGATATTCTGTGTATGAAATGCGATGACTAGAGTGAGGAAATCCATCTTTTAACGAATGTTCAAAGCAAAATCACGGAAACAGTTTTTCTTTATGTTATGTATCATGAAGTAACATGATGAAGTCACATGACTTGATCCAAGATGTCTCATTCATTACTGCAGCCCACACTTCATCAATCTGTACACACTTCAGGGTTTTCAGCATATATTTTTTGATGCAAGTGAATTTGCTTGTCTGTGAATAACAGTTCCAGTCCCAAATATTGGAAGGGAAGGTCTTCTTTTCCAATATTGAATTGAGATCATATTGATCTTATGCTTGATTCAAATTCTTCCAGCCCACTCCATATGAAGTCATCTACATGACTGGCAAGTATTCCACTCAATAAACCACCCCCATGGTCTAGAGGTAGAGTGTCCGCCTGGAGAGCGGTAGGTTGGGGTTCGATCCCATGTCACGTCATACCAAAAGACATTAATAGATGGTACTTGTTGTTACAACATTAAATGGCTTAAACAAGGACTGGTCAGCTCGGAGTCAGCATGCTGTGTCTGAGTGAGGTATTCATGTTACATAAACTGGGGCATGGTATCTCAGTGGGATAGCACTATCAATCGCCATCAGTTCGGACTAGTAGAAGCAGACACACAGGTGCATGACTGTCCTTTATAAGTGCAATAATCTTAGATTTGACGTTACCCCCAATTTCACCTCACACCTCCACTTAATGATCCATTGGAGTCATACCATCAAGACATAGCGGGATCCAAACTGGAAATATTTCCTGAAAGAGTAGTCATACCATCTTTCACTTTAACATATCACTGAGTCACTGACATGAGACATCTCCTAGACCATAGACACATTTCTTTAGGTGCCACACCTTGCCCTGACACTTGGTTCCTCTTAGTGGTTGTATGAAGAGGTCTCTCTCTATGAGTTGTCCTTGCGAAAAATGGGTCTTGATGTCCATAGAATGGGGTTCTGTCATTCATGAAGGATTTAACTTGAATGACGTTTCCAAATTTGAAAACTTTGTCACTTGACGATGTAATCACTTCATTCTTCTTGTCTTCATCCAACCTTTCCATAAACAGGAGGAAACCAGTTCTTACCACCAACCATTCTGAATTACTGCACAATCATTTGCCTCTGTCACAAGAATTTCATTCTCTGTGTTCTGTCCTGTCTTGACCAACAAGTTGAGATAACATTTGTCTTCAAGTTTTTGTTCTCTGTCTGTGGTATTTGTCATTTTCACAGTGTCATTATCAGTTTAAATTGTGACACTGACTGGCATATTGCACATTTTGTTCTTCTACCATTCCAATCTAATAGATTGGACCCTCTTGAATTATTTGGTTGATATCTAGACCAAGTGGCATTAGAATATCATAAATTGATAATTGTCTCTTGATTAATAGAAATTCCACATTCTTGACCATCATTTGTGGCTAAATTGTCTCCAAAAATTCTCTTCAAGGCAGATTTTACTGAAACATGTTTCCTATCTGACACAGTAGTCAATATCAACTGTCTCTCTTTCTGACCTTAACTGTTACTATCAAGCAGTTTAAATGCAAGAATAGAATCGGGAAATTACAAATAATATCTTTGCACATGTTATTCCTTCTCTTGTACCCGATGATGAAATGATTCATTGAAATGCCATCCATCTTCTTGTAGGCGTCAAATTACGTGTATCTCGAGGACCTTAATCCACTGAATCTTGTTGAAACAAACTGTCAAGTACTTTGATTACTTTTTCCCAAACCGTCTTCTTTGTTTAGATCTTTCACATCAATCTCAAGTGTCTTTGACCCTGCTTGCCCTGTCAGTAAACATTACTGCTAGTGCCTGTGTTTATCAGCTGCAATATCAGTCATCAGACTCCACACATCCAGTTCATTTTTCCACGTCTCATATATTGTGTCTGCACCCAAAACTGGGAAAGTTTGTGGTTCACTGCCATCCTCAGTAAAATTAGGTTTATCCGTTGACAGCTACGCTCTGCTTCCATGAAAAGTTGCTTACACTAGCTGTATGGTTTTGCCCTCTCAGCATGCCGTTTTACACCAAACTGTCATGCCTGACCTTTTCCAGCACTCTTTATGTCACATCCCGGAAGTGGTAGATACATAATAAATCAATATTTGATTTCCTTCTGATGTTATCACGATGCTATCATAATATTAAAAACACACCTTGCTCACCTTGCACACTTTGCTCAAATACAACTTTAGAAAAGACATACGGGCGGTGTCCCATGACTAATTCACGCGGAAACAAAAATCCAACAACATGATGATGCATTTGGAGTTCTGTCATGGTTTACTATGTCTGCCATTTCTTTCCCAAAATACAATTATATAACCTATTTGAGGTATTTTTCGACAAATGCATACCGTGCATTGGGGTGCTTTCGCCCTCATCCATCTCAGTGCCACACTGTGCTGACATGGCGATTTAAAAAGATGTACCCATTGTACATGTTGTATAAAAGAGTTGCAATGTCATTGTACATGTTGTATAAAAGAGTTGCAATGTCATTGCACATGTTGTATAAAAGAGTTGCAATGTCATTGTACATGTTGTATAAAAGAGTTGCAATGTCATTGTACATGTTGTATAAAAGAGTTGCAATGTTCTTTTGTCTTTACGGTGTAACCAAATTGTACAGTGTTCAACTTGGGTCTATCCAACAGTATCTTATCTCATTGAATTAAAAACAGCTATGAACTGCCTCGCCATCGGTGAAAGTGGGGGTATTCTAAGTTTGCTCCTTTTCTATGTTTTTCATCATATAGAAGTTAAATTTGAAATCTGTATGTCTAATAATTCATTTCATTGGAAAGTACATATCCTAAAGGTGAAAGACATATGGCATTTATATCAAAGTATGAATTAATTGCGAAATTGTCTTTGTTTCATAAACAAACCATGAAATTGTTAGTGTTTTTACATCAAACACGATGGATGGAAGTGGTCAAGATCGCTTATAGCAGATTGTTTCAAAAGTTTTGATGCAATAAGAACAACAGTTTGAATTTTATATCCTTATAAAATTCTGGTTAAGTCCTAATAAGTTTTTGTGCCTGAGTTCTTTCTTTAATGGATAAGAACACCTTCAGGGTTGTTGGAATTGGATATTTTCAAGGGACAA